TAGGCCATGTTCAGAGGATTCACCAGAAAACAAAGGGGTTGGATCCAACCCAGGCAAATTCGTAGAGTTAACAGCATTCTCCATTTGGGAAACAGTGGAAACCGGTCGAAAGACTTGAGATGGAGACTTCACTGAAACTGAGGCCACACTTACGAGCTGATTGTTTCTATTTTATAGTTCAAATAATATTTTATAAAAATAATTAATATTTTATATTATAAAATATTAATTATTAAATAAAAAATCTTTTAATATTAAGAGTTATTACCTATCAAACCGTCTCTATTTTACATACACCCGAAAAATCAACACATAATTATACATACACCCAAAAAATCAACACACATCTCAACACCCAATGTTTATAAACAGTAAAATTACAAATTTAACTCTCTTTATTTTAACTTTGGGTGTTGAGATGTGTGTTGATTTTTTGGGTGTATGTATAATTGTCCATTTTACAATTGAGACGGTTAAAAAAGTCCCACCCTCAACAAAATACCCGAAAGCGATGGAGGGGCAATCTCGTCATTACAGAAGCCGGGTGGCAAGAACATGGAAGGCAAGATCAAATCCAATACATGCAAGAGGATGACAACAATCCCCAGCTGGCATTCCAGGGGATTCGTAGGGGCAAATCCGTCCAAAAATAACCACGTGGCATGATCTCAACAGCTGTTACAAGCGCTTAACAAAACCGACTTCAACTGGAAATCCTACTCCTCTTGCCCCCGCCATATATAACGGCGCGAGTCCCACATCAACTACTGTTTTACGAAGAAAAGCTTCCAGATCCGGTTAGAGAATCAAAATCTCTAACCCTCCCTCCTGAATTTTCCGATCAAATCTCAAATTCGACCTCAGGTAATCTTCGATTGCTCGATCTCTCTTCTTTTTTTTTTGGTTATGTGTTACGTTGATCCATCTGATGCTTCCTGTTCGTTTTCGTCAAATCGAGTTCTGCGATTTGTGCTCTTTAATCTTGTTTCTGATAGGATTTTATTCTGCTTAGATGTGTTTGGTTTTTGTCTCTGTGTTTGTTCTTTGGCGATGGGGGGATATGGTTAGGATGAGTTCTTCTCCTGTTTTTTTGTTTTTAAATTTATGATACTTAATTGTTGTGTTGGTTATGTTTAGAGGTCTTATGATCAGTGTATATGATTTTCCCTTTTTTGTGATTTTGTTTTATTATCGGTCTAAATTGAATTTTTATCAAAGAAAAGAAAAACAACCTCAAATTGGATTTATGCGGTTTATATTGAATAAATTTTAAAGTGAGATGTTTAATTATTTTGAAATTAAGAATTTTTAATTATTTGATGTCTCCCATTTACATTTTTTATGTAAAGATTCGGTCTTTTGCTTAATCTTGTTTGAGAATTAGGCATTTGATTTTGGAATTTTGTTTTATGCTGTTACTTTCTTGTGGTTATGAACTTTGAAGTTACTGCTCTATGGGGTGGTTGGAACTTCGTTAAATGCTGTTAGCAAACTCAAAACCCTTCAATGCTTCGGGTTATTTGGTTAGCTGAACCATGTGACTGTGTCTGTCTTGGAGTATTTGATAAGCAGTGCACACATCAATTTACAAAATATCATTTTTCCTCTGGCACAAACTATGAAGTGAATAAATATGATGGTTTGACAGATTATAGGTAACTTATGGGGACATAGGAGTATTATTCTGAATAGAATGTGTATGCAGATAAATTGAATGGTTTTATGGGATGAATTTTGTAGTATTTAAAGGTGGTCAGTCACCATCCTAGCAAGTTGATTGGTTGAGTCTGAAACAGTGTATCTTTATATGGATCAATTGTGATTATATAGCTTCCTCTGTCATTACCTGTTATTCTTATTTTCTGTTTCTGTTATAGTCATGGCTGGACTGGCTCCTGAAGGATCACAGTATGATGCCCGTCAGTATGACAGCAAAATGAATGACTTGTAAGTGTTATTTGGAAGTTCTCTTTTGGTTATATACATTGTGTAATTATAACTTTCTGAAACCTATTTTGCTCATAATTGCAGGCTTTCAGAGGAAGGGAAAGATTTCTTTACTTCTTATGATGAAGTTCATGATAGTTTTGATAAAATGGGCTTGAAAGAGAACCTTCTCAGAGGCATCTATGCATATGGTAATCTTTATTCTTTCTCTATATATTTTCCATTTCTTTTTATTCAATCCATAAAGTTTTGAAGCCAGGGTCCCAAATTTATGCCATGATATGTTTCTATAGGTTTTGAGAAGCCATCAGCAATTCAACAAAGGGGAATTGTCCCTTTTTGCAAAGGTCTAGATGTGATTCAGCAAGCACAGTCTGGGACTGGTAAAACAGCAACTTTCTGCTCTGGCATCTTGCAGCAGTTGGAGTATGATATAGTGCAATGCCAAGCTTTGGTGCTTGCCCCAACTAGAGAGCTTGCTCAACAAATTGAGAAAGTCATGCGGGCCCTTGGTGATTATTTAGGTGTTAAGGTTCATGCATGTGTTGGTGGTACCAGTGTTCGGGAGGATCAAAGGATCCTTGCTGCTGGTGTCCATGTTGTTGTTGGGACTCCTGGTCGTGTTTTTGACATGCTTCGTAGGCACTCCCTCCGTGCTGACAACATTAGAATGTTTGTACTAGATGAGGCAGATGAAATGCTTTCCCGGGGTTTCAAAGATCAGGTTGGTCTCTTCTTTCAGACTTGTTGGTTGCATATCATGTTCAGTTGCTACTTTTGTTCAGATAAGTATAATTAGGATGTGGATGATGTGATGATAATTATTCTTCTACTAATAATTTGTAATTTGATGGTGTTGACTCATTTACAGTAAACTCAGTGTTAATTAGCTAAATCTAGGCGGTTGTTTTACCCAAGAAAAAATGCACACTACATTTCTCACTTTAAATGAGAGGTTGTCAAGCAAATAGACTGTAATCTTTGCACTTGTTGATGTTCTGCTTTCCTAACATGGTCCAATTTCATTGTTTGTGTTTCGATCAAATATAGAAAGTAGTTTCTTTGCCTGAATTTAATATTTTAAGTCTCTCTGACTAGTGACGTTAACAGTGTTCCTGATGTTGGAGTATTTCGAGGGATGATAGGGGCCTGACTCATTTTATTCTATGTAGGATACAGTGTTTGTGGCCTATATGCTTGCTTGAATATTTTCTTGCAATCATGTTTAGAATTTAGGTTTTGTGGTTTTTCTAAATTTTTATGTTCATATCAAGTGTTGAGTGATTTTGTAATTCATAGAACTGTAGTTTAATTTAATGGTCTATTGTTATTGAGAATGTGTTGTTGTATTTTTTTCTCTTTCAGATCTACGATATCTTCCAGCTGCTTCCTGCTAAAATTCAGGTTGGTGTGTTTTCTGCAACAATGCCACCTGAGGCCCTGGAGATTACAAGGAAATTTATGAACAAACCAGTAAGAATCCTTGTGAAGCGTGATGAACTGACCTTGGAAGGTATCAAGCAGTTCTATGTCAATGTTGACAAGGAAGAGTGGAAGCTAGATACGCTTTGTGACCTCTATGAAACATTGGCCATCACTCAAAGTGTGATTTTTGTGAACACCAGACGCAAAGTTGATTGGCTTACGGACCAAATGCGTGGCCGTGACCACACTGTCTCTGCCACCCATGGAGACATGGACCAGAATACAAGGGACATCATTATGCGTGAATTCCGCTCGGGATCTTCTCGTGTGCTGATCACAACTGATCTCTTGGCTCGTGGGATTGACGTCCAGCAGGTATCCTTGGTCATTAACTATGATTTGCCAACCCAACCAGAGAATTACCTTCACCGTATTGGTCGAAGTGGAAGATTTGGAAGGAAAGGTGTTGCAATCAACTTTGTTACTCGTGATGATGATAGGATGCTCACTGATATTCAGAAATTCTACAACGTAGTCATCGAGGAGTTGCCTGCAAATGTTGCAGATTTGATCTGATTGATTCTGTTTTGCTGTACCAAAACAGAACCTGTCCTGATTGTTATATATTGGTATTTTTTTAATTTTATTTTTGATATCCTGGCAACATGTTTGTTCTGGATGTTCCAAATTTTGTCAAAAACAGTTAGTCAATGAGGTTTTTTTTCTGTTCTTTTTTTATTTATTTTTCAGATTAAGTGTGTCTGGTTGCTTATTGTTGAGAGTTGTACTTTTATTTCAAATTCTAAAGCATTTATTTTATAATATTCTTTTGTGTTTAATTTGATGGTTTTTTTTAAGGAGGAATGCACTTATTCAATGCCATATAAAGATTAACATCTTTTGGTTCTTTCGTTCACTTTTATTTTCTTTAAGCTCTTCAATATATAAATGTTAAGTTGAATATGTGAGCCCTTCACATTGTCTACTGGCTGTCCGACCTCCAAAGAATCAGGAATTGCCGTGAAAAAAGGTGGCTGTTTATGGAGTACTCTATTGTCACCCAAGTTATTTAGTGCTTGGTAATTACTTTTTAAAAAGCGTATATATATCTATATTGTAATTGAAATATATAAATTATAATTGATTAATACTTTTAGTATTGCAAGTATTAAAAAAGCACTGTGAAAACTATTCCAAACAAGTTTTCATACTTATAAATTTTAATAATAGATTTTATATTTGATTTAATTGTAACTTCTGTAAAAGTTATATTTATTTATTTTTTTTATAAAAATGCTTTTGATGAAATACTTATAAGAAAAATTTTAGAAATTGATAAAGATTTTAACTTCAAAAGCTTAATAATATAAGACCTACTCTAAAAATTGAAATTTAGACTCCTCAAAATTTTAGCATTTAGAAGTTGAAAAAAACTTTTGAAAAAATTAAAAGAGCTGTCAAAAGGCTAATGTTTGGTACAAGTATGCACAATTTCATATTTTGTAGTCTAAAAGATATTTTAATAAATTACGTTGCCAATTACCTAAATAATTCAGTGATCATTTTCTTTAGTTAGAAGTAAGAAATCTTTAGTTCGAGTCGCATGACATGTGAATGGGGTGAGATAAAGGATGAGAGATGATTGCTTCTCATTGTGCAACCAAAATAAATAAATAAATAAATTACGTCAAATAAGAACATTTATGAATTTTAGATATTAGAATTATAGCAGCCAAATAAGTAACATAGTAAACAAGTGAATTATGATTCAAATCTTGAATGCACTTGGGTTTTGTGACTTGATGATTATATGTCTCATAATAAGGTGTATCCAATTCTAAGGTTGAGGTTTGAATCATTTTCTAAATTGTAATCTATTAAAAAAAATCTTAAATGAATTAAGAAAAGAAAATGATGAAGTTTTTAATTAATTAAATTACATTATTTCTTAATGTTATAATTTAGTAAATT